TCAAATGCATGTGCCTATGGGGGCCATCCTCATTTAAATCGGCAAAGGGCCTGACCCTAAAGCAGGTGCCATTCACTTGCTACTAGTCTTTGAGAACCTTGCTATGTAGCTTTGTGCCTGGGGCACCTGGGACTCTTGGAATGCACATGGAAGCTGTCAGCAGCCTTTTGGATACTACAGTTTTCCTAACTGTAGGTTTCCCACCTGAGAAATATTTGGCATGGTTGTGAACCCTGCAGCTCCTGCCTCAGCCTCCTGTTCTAGTAGAGGAAGAAGTGTGAAGAACTCTGTTGATGATTTTAGACCGTTCCCCATCATAAGACGGAGATTAGCTGAGAGTAGAGTAGTGACCTCACATTGTAAGGCTGCAGTGATGGCTCAGGTGGGAAAGTGCTGGCTGCACATACATGAGGACCTGAGTTCAGATCCCCAGAACCCATGGGAAGAGCCAGGAACAGCAAGCAGTAGTATCTAGAGCCCAAGCATTGGGAGAGCCAGCAAGGGCAAGACAGGCCAATCTCTGGAGCTCACTGAACATCAGTCTAGCTGATCTAGTAAGCTCCAGGTTCAGTGAGAGACTTTGCCTGTGGCCTCCATATGCATGCACGCATGCATGCAGTCACTCACGCATGCGTGCATGTCAAAGAACATACCCACTCCTGGAGTCCTGCTCCATCCCTCCCTGCTTTATTTCCCTGAGACAGGGTCTGTCTCTGGGCCTGGAGCTAGGCTGCTATCTCTTGCCCCTGCCCCACAGTGCTGAGGTCACAAATGTGTGCTGCCACACTGGGCTTTTTTAAAAATGTGGGTGCTAGGATCTGAACTCAGGTCCCTATGCTTGTATAGCTAGTGCCCTTATCCATAGCACCATCTCTCCAGCCTGTTCTTTTTTTTTATTCCTTGGACTAGCCAAAGTTTTCAAACCCCGGGCTTACTGCCCTGGGCTAATTTGTTTGCCTGAATTAATTATCAGCAGGGGTGGCCACCTCATTTCTCAGAGTCTTTCTTTTTTGGAAGTAATGCCTTTTAATTCAAACAGTACAACTTAGGGCTCTTTGGCAACTAATGTAAAGGGTGCCTTGACATTTCTTTAAAGGCATTTAAATGTTACTGTCTCTGAAAGAAACAATTTTAGAATATGAAACCTTTACCCCCACCCCCACCCGGGCAAGGAAGCAAAACATCACCAGCTTAATTATATCTGTAAAACAGCAACTTCCACGTTTGCTTTTCATGATGCTACTGGAAGATAATGGTGCTATTTGCAAATTACAAAATAATTATGGATAATTTCATAAAACTTGCTTTGGATTTTTGTCGCTGTAAATGACACCTCACTTTAGAGGACAAGGGTTTGTGTAAAGTCGTAGATTATCCCTCCTGATTGATAAAAGAGCTGCTGGAGAGCACACAGTTGGAACTGTGCTACCCCAGACAGTCTCATGTGGGCATATAAAGGTCCTTTTTGTAGGTGTGGGATCAAACCCAGGGCCTTGTGTATGCAAGGCAAGTGATCTACCAACTAAGCTATATCCCCAGCCACATAAAATGCTCTTACAGTTAGGAAAAGGACCCCCCCCCCAAAACTTAGTTCTCTCTCTGCCTCTCTCTCTTCCTCTCTCTCTCTCTGTGTGGTGCAGGTACATGTGCACATAGGTGTGCATGAGTGTGGAGGCCAGTTGTGTTGTTCCTCAGGCACTACCTACATTTTTTTTTAAAGACAAAGTGTCTTAGTTAGGGTTAGTATTGCTGTGATGAAACACCATGACCAAAAGCAACTTGAAGAGGAAAGGGTTTATTTGGCTTACATTTCCACATCACTGTTCATCATTGAATGGAGTCAGGACAGGAACTCACACAGGGCAGGAACCTGGAGACAGGATTTGATGCAGAGGTCATGGAAGAGTGTTGCTTACTGGCTTGCTCTCTGTGGCTTGCTCTGTCTACTTTTCCTATAGAACCCAGGACTACCAGGTTAGGGATGACAGCACCCACAAAGGGCTGGGCCCTCCCACTCAATTACTAAGTAAGAAAATGCTCAACAGGCTTGCCTACAGTCTGATTTTCTTTTTTTAAGTATAGCTTCCATTTTATTTTTCCTAGGTGTTTCTTCTCCTGTCCTTATGAAACCACCTCTTTGCATGGGCTTTGGTGGAGGTCATGGTACAGTACCAGCAGGTCTAAATTGTGGTGGGGGTGTTTGGTCCTTCTGGGCTTCACAAGATCCATTCCTGACTGCCTTGCTATGAATAGCACAGCTCATACTGTAATGCAGCTTGATGTAGAGTTTGGGAGGCACATAAATGTCAAAGGCACTTGTTTTGGTTGTGTTCCTGACAGCAGCATCCTCTACAATGATGGACTTCTTAATGGACTTGTCTTTGGGCTCGAGCTGGGTGCATTTCATGTTGTATTCCCACCAAACACTGCACAAGAGTTCTGTGATGGTTAAGTTTAGTGGTCAACTTAACACAATCTAGAATCACCTAGATTATAGTCTCATTTAAAGATTGTCTAAATCGGGTTAGCCGATGGGCATCTTGTGAAGACCTGCCTTCACCATTCCCTAGGAAGGGGATCCTGGGTTGTGTAAGAATGGAGGAAGTACAGGCTACAGAAACCCACAGAGACAGCTGACCTGAACAAAGAGGAGCTAATGGGCCTCCAGACTGATAGCTAGGAATCCAGCATTGGACCAAATCAGAACCCCTGAACATGGGTCTCAGCTAGAAGGCCTGGGCAGTCTAAGGGACCTCAGACAGTGGAACCAGGATGGATCCTTGGTGCACAAAAGGACTTTGGTAGCACATTCCCCATGGAGGGTTACTCCCTTAGCCTAGAGGCAGGAGGAAAGGCCTAGTCCCTACTCCAAATGACTTGACAGATTTTGTTGACCCCTCCTGGAAGGCATCACCCTCCCTGTGGAGGGGGTGGGGTGGGATGGGAGGGTGGTCAGGGGGCATGGGAAAGTGGGAGCGAGGGAGGGAGGGACAGAGAGGGAACTGGGATCGATATGTAAAATAAGAAAAATAAATAAAAAAAGAATGGAGGAAGTAAGCTGAGCATTAGCATGTATGTATTCATTCATTGCTCTTTGCTCTTGACTGTGGGTGTTACTAGGTTCTTGGAGCCCCCACCTCCATGACTTCCCTGCAGTGATAAACTCTGTCCTTGAATCATGAGCCAATAAACCCTTTCTTTCTTAAGTTGTTTTTGTCTGGTATTTTATCACAACAACAGGAAAGGGAACTAAGATGGGTTCCAATTTCTTCTCATTTTCAACAACTCTTGTAGTTCTCTGTTGTTTTTCTTTCCTGGATGGATATTCTAACAGGTGTGATATGGTTTCTCAATGTAGTTTTAATTTTTACCTACTTGACCATTAGTAATGTTGATCCCTTCATATACTTGTCCATCATTACTAGTGTCTTACACCACACAGAGAAATCATGTCATTTTTTTAATAAGTGATTTAATATAACATGTTAAACTATAAAATGATTGGAAGAAAACAGCTAGGAAATCCTTCATAGTTCTTGGCAATGATTTCTGGAATATGACATCAAAAAGCATAGGCCATGGTTCTGACTGATTCTATAAAGAGTCAGATAGTAACTGTTTGCTGTTGGCAAGCTGTTGGGTTCCTGCTATTACAGGGGAAACAGGTATAGGATATATATATATATATATATATATATATATATATATATATATATATATATGGAAGGATGTGGCAGCATCTCAATAAAGCTTTACTTGCCCAAACAGCCTGGGATGGATTCTGCTTGCAGGCTATTGCTTGCTGTAGATTTTTTACTCAAGCCTTTCATGCCTGTGTACTGTTGGATGCAGAGCCAGCTCCCCTCAGTTGATGTCAGGACAGCCCCCCCCCACCCATCTTGATAACAAAATGCCAAATGTCCTTTAGGGGACAAAATCACTATTAGTTTTGAGCCTCTTATCTAATTGGCTGAGATAACCTGATAAAGAGTCTTAGGAGAGGCTTTCCTAGGATTACAAAGCATAGGATAAGGCAGAAAAAGAGTCAAAAAACCCCATGGTGTATTTGTCTTAGGTAGGTCAAGGTTGCCTCCAAGGGGCCATTAGCACCACCTAAATTTGGAAAGTGGTTCAAAAATAACTGCGATGGTAACACAGCTGCAAAGTGCTCTGTTAATAATGCAAATATGAGCTTAACCTACTTTTATGATAGGCACAAGTAACAGCATTGAACACATTAGCACACTCCAATGGAACTCTGAGTCTGCATGCCTTCTGTCTGTCGGAAAGGCTAGAGTATGGGATGGGGACAACCAGCAATTCCAATTCCCACTTGGGCAAAGGTTTATTTTTTCTGCTTATCTGAATTCAGAACAAACACAAGCAGAGCAAATTTTGAAAGCACTCACATGGTTCTCATTGTTTGGACAGGGCCAGACAAAAATGGCCTGGTTTCACGGCAAATTGGCAGTAACACGTGTTTTTGAAAGTTGAAAACAACATAATGCCTCATCCCTGAGAATAGTTTCTTCTTGTCTTGTAGAATAAACACCTGTTTTGCAAAATAGGAGCATAAAAGCTGTCTTTATAAAAATTTCTTCATTACTATTATTCTCCAGTAATTAAAATATTAAGTGCAATTTGAAATTGTATAACATATAGATTTGTGTTTTTAAACATACAGACAATGGCAAAACAATCTCACATCTCAACAGGAACTTCAGTTAGGTCCCTTCGAGGCCACTTTCTCTTTGGATTAGAGGGGGAAAAAAAGAAAACTTCCTTCTTTAGTAGCATTTTCTTCAGATAAGTGCATTTTTCTTACTAACAAGGAGAAATACTGTGGAAATTGTCCATGAACACCCAAGGGCCCAGCCCCTTAAGTCCCTCCTGCCAGGCCCCATAGCTTCTACTGAATACCCAGCTACCTTCTTTGCAGGTCAGGAGAATGTAGGATTTTATAGTGTGCATCTGACAGCAGCTTTTCCTCTGTCCCCCAGGTTACCATGGCCTCTACTGTGAGGAAGAATACAATGAGTGCCTGTCTGCTCCATGCCTGAATGCTGCCACCTGCCGGGACCTCGTCAATGGCTATGAGTGTGTGTGCCTGGCAGAGTACAAAGGTGAGCCATTTCTCAGGATTTCCTGGCTCTAAATGACCACATCACATGGAGCTCTCACCTTTTGGAGCATGGATTTGTTTATAATCAAAACCAAATCCTGAGGTTGGGATGGTGGATGGGTTCTGGGAGGGTTGCCCATTTGTAAGCTCCAGACTTCCTTCTGATAAGCCCAGAAACCCTGCTCCTGCCTTTTTCTTTTCCAGATGCATCTCTGTTGAATGCATATAAAGGTAAATACTGAGAGGGTTGTTAAGGTATGCAGGCAGAGACATGTCAAAGGCTGTGGCTGGGAACAGGAAAGAAGAAAGTGTGCTGTTCTCAATGGCTTATTGGGTAAAAACAGTATGCCCTTGGTGGGGGGAGGTGAGGAAGTCTCGTGTATTGGCAAAATGTGAGATCTTATTAAACAAGTCAGTTGGGAGGCAAATGTTAGTTCATCTGATTGGCTGCCTGTTAATGTCACTCTGGAAAAACAGCTGACATTGATGGGCTAGTTAGAGTGTGGGGAACACGTTCTAAGCATGCATGTGCATTAACTCATTGAACCCTGCTGGCAGCTCCACAAGGCAGATGGTGTTGCTATCCATCACTAGCCTGTGTAGTTTGATTCCTAAAAGCCTTTGCTTTGGCTTCTAGCCATGGGGTACGGATGGTGTGGCTTCATCTAAGCCCAGATGCTCAAGTCCGAGAGCCACAGCCAATTGCAGCTGCCTACCCTTTGAATGCTGCTTGTTAGCTCTTACACAGTTCCCTAAGTCAGAACACGGGGGCTGGCTTTAGATTTTTGAAATACTTTTGTGGCCCTATTTATATCCATTTCCCTTAACCTTTCAACTCCTTTCACTGCTTACTTGATAGCCTCCATCTGCCTCTTCCTGCTTCTCTTTTATGGGCCCTTCTCTGTTTTGTGATCTTTCTGGAAATCTTCAAGGGCCAGCACACACTGAAGTACTCAGTGAGGGCTCTGGATGCAGCTAAAGCTGGGCTGGGTCTTTATGCCCAGCACATCAGCATTTTCATTTGGAATGGGATACCCAGTGACGTCCAAGAAGCATCCACATCCTCAAAGCCACAAGGGAAGACATGTTGGATTATCTTTTTGGCTTTTCAGCATGGTGAAAGAGGGACTCCATTTGATTCTGGAAAGAAGAACATAAGGACAATGACTCTAGTGGCTTAATTAGCTCATCTTAATCATGCCACAAGTCTGCTGAGCCTGGACAAAGCTCTCAAATAGATTTTGGCCAATGATACTTACAGAGATTTCCAGGTCCTTCAGTAATAGAGTTGGTATGGGCAATAGGTTTCAAACAACTAAAACTACCAATTCTTTAAGTTTATGGAACAGATCTCATCTTTATAATTAGCAGAAGCAGCTATGTCCTTCTGTCTGTTCTTCTATCTTTGACCTTTAGCTCACACTGGCCTTTACTGAGCAAGAAGAATATAGTTGCCTTGAAAAGCTTACAAGCATCCCTGAAAAATTCAAAGGCTGTGATGTTAACTTTTTCCATGCACCTTCCACACATTCTCAATGTTGTTGTCTATATTGTTGCTCTGAAATCACAACAGTTTTTCAGAAGTGTATTACACTTCCTCATTCTAAACACACACCTGGCTCTGCTTCTGTAGGATAAAAGAAAGTTATGATGTGTAAAATCTTCAAATGTACCCAATCTCCCTCCCTCTGTTGCAAGCCATGGCTCTCAAACTTGAGCTCACACTAGCTTCTGCCAGCAGATCTGTTATAGATCCCTGCATCTCAACTTTCTAGGCTTAAAGTGGGGCCCAAGACTTTGCATTTTTGGCAATTCTCAGGCGTGCCTTTGAGGACTCCTCCCTGTAAGTGTATCTGAAGTGACAATTGCTAGAATATCATTCTGTCCCACATTAGCCGGTCATGCTCATCCTGCTTGAGTCCAGCATTTCCCTGTGTGCTCTGAGTTAGGAGCTTCCATCTGTCCGGAAAACTCCCCCTAATTTCCTTGCTGTTTGTACATTTGCAGTGTCGAGCATTGCTGTTACTATATAAATAAATGCAACTCTTAGTGTAAGAAAATGAAGATTCTAGAAAGAGAGCAGCTGATGCCCATATTCAATATCCTTGATCCCTGGAGGGAAAAGGTCCTGTGAAGATGAGGTTCTTGAGGGATGCTTTAGGAGCTGAGAAGTTTAACTTCTAGTCAGAAGAGAAGGTGCGATTCCGGAGATAGTGAAGAAGTTAAGGACTGATAACCGAGGCATGCAAAGACCCCTGGAGTTTGAGTGTGCTGTGAACATACCACACAGGATCTCTGGAGGCAGAGCCATTCCTTCCTTTCACTGGCTGCTCTTTAAGGGAGTTGAATAGTCTGGAGGCCTGGATCTTTTCTTGTGTGGCTGGAAGAGAATGGTTTTATCCTGCTCACACCAGTGGGTCCCAAGAAATCCAGACTGACCGGCGTCTCCACTCTAGGCCACAGAAGACAGAGCTCAGCTGGCTGCCAATCCAGTGTCCCCATTTTTGACTTGATGTCTTCCTCCATACCAACCACCCAGAGAAGAAGAAAATCTAGGCCTCTAAAGATTCAAGAGGGGGAATAAAAAAGTGATGTGTCTTACTCAGAATTGAGTTTGAATCTGGAGAGCATAATGCGGAACTATTTCCTGATAGACATAAAAGTATGAGGAGGTGGAGATCACTGGAGTAAGGATAGGTGCTATGGAGAAAGGATCCAAGGGCTTTGAGGGCAGATGCCCCAGAAGGAGAAGGGATAGGTCAAAACAAGGCCACCACCAAGTACTGTGCAGGACCTCAGTGAGAGGAAGAAACTAGCTTGCAAGTGGAATAGATTCTGAATGCCCGATGAACACAATGTGCAGGCTGTGATTTCCTGGTAGAAGTTCTAACACCCAGGCTAAACAGAACAGTTTATAAGATTTTTCATGGGTAGTGCAGGTTGCATTGAAACAGAGGACTGGGAGGATGGGCAGTATGGCAGTTATATTTGGAATGGTAAAGGACTGGGGGGGGGAGGGTTAGAGGATCACCTACATTTGAGGGACAAAGGAAAGATAGTTCAGTTGGTGAAGTGCTTATTTTGGAAATGCAAGGGCCTGAGTTCAATTTTCAGAGCCCACATACAAATGGCAGGTGTGGTGGTACACTTCTGTAATCCTAGTCCTGGGAGGGGGAATCGCTGGGGCTCCCAGGCCAGCCAGGCTAACTATTTGATGAATTCCAGGCTGAGAGACCTTATCTCACATAAGATGGGTGGCATTTCCGAGGCTGCTACCTAAGGTTGTCCCTTGGTTTCCACTTGCATACCCACAGACTTGTACCTGAAAACACCCCAACACACACACACACACACACACACACACACACACACACGCCATACATTTCAATAATTCAGAAACCGTGATATCACATACCGTCTCTGGGACTGTGCTTATAAGGAGTGTCCTCAGGAGACACTTAGATAGTGGAAGGGGAGGCACAGGAGGGATGTGGGAAGACTGATTTAAATGCAGAGGGTGACCCAGATGGATGAGAGCAATGTGACTGTGATAATTTCGCGGCGGAGATTCTCTTAGAATAGGCACAACTGCTACATTAGCTAGCTGATGCCACACAGAGGCTTACAACTCACCAGTGGCTTCTTAGGACATGGCTTTGAATATTTATTAGTTCTGTGAGCCCAGGGCATGGCTGAAGTGGTGCCATGCTCAGGGTTCCTGTGCATGGAATAGCCTGAGCTCTAAGCTAAGGCAGGAATCCAGAAGGATAAGCTCGTGAAGACCCTCAGGGCTGGACAGAATTCACATTCTTCCTTCTGGCTGTAGAATTCATGACAGCCTGCTTCATCCCTGTTGCTCCAAATTTTCAATGTCAGCAAAGGCCTGAATCCCTTTAATGGCCTCCCCAGTCAGGGCCACGTAGAATGAGCTTTCCAAGGAAGCTGCTTAGGAACGTTAAATGTAACAGCTGTGGAATAGAAGGTCATATTCAGATGGAGGGAATTAACATGGGGCAGATCATAGGGGCTCATGGGGGAGGGGATTTATGTAGCCAAAATAAAGTTCCATATAATTTTAATCAAGTCTATGAGGTGAAGGAGTCACACAAGCCTGTTAAAGACCTCCTCCCTAAGAGCAGATAGTGCATTACCCACCTTTTTTTGTTGCCGGAGCAAAATATCTTACACTCACTTTAGGCTTCACCTTGACAGCTTCATGTACTGACCTCTCAGAGCCTCCTTGCAGGGACTCCATCCCTGTGCCATATTGTTCTGTGTTAGATGCTCTCTGGGACTTTGGCCCCAGACTCTGTGAACTCTCCAATCTTGCAATGTCCATACCTTTAGAACCAGCACCACGCAGCTGATGCTATGAGGTGGTGCTGTCAGCTTAGAATGAAGGCTGCAAACATATCTTACCTGGGCAGTGGTTTCGATCAGAGAACCTTTCTTTCAATGCTAGTCACAATTTAGCTCATGTCTGTCAACCAAATCTGTGTCTTCACAAGGGACGGCTTTCGGTGGGTAGGATGAGAGGAGTAAGCCTTAGCCACACGACAGCCTGAATACTCTCCTATCTTGAAATTTTCTCTGCCGAACAAATTAATTCGCTCCCTTAGAAATTAGTCTCCACAAGGTCCTCAGGGCACGAGAGGATGTAGCCAGATTGTTTACCAGACTATAACTTGAGTTGTTTAGAGAACCAGTGTCCCCGGGCAGTCTTTGTTCCTCTGCGGAGGGCTCCCCTAACACGTGTAGGCTCCTGGGTTCAATCAATACCCCAAAACAAATAATCAAAAGGATCTGTTGTTAATCACATTAAGTGAGTAAAGAAAGCCAGTTAGAACATGTAAGCTCCCCCTGTGTTGCCTGACATCCACGTCAAGAGTGGAGAGGGGAGAAAAAGGGTTGAAACTGATGTAAATATAGTGTATTCATGTATGAAATGATCACAAATTAAAATGTATGCAGGTAGAAAAAGAAAAGGTAAGTTTCTCCTGT